AAATTTAGTGCCACATCTCAACATATTCTTTTTTTAATGTTTTTCAAAATAATGAACAGACCTGCATCACTCATTTCTTTTTCCTCATTAAAGATGAGAAGAAAAAATAAAAGGGAGAGATGAAAAGGGAGAGCTGAGGAGATATAAAAACTGTTCTGTTTTCAACATACAAATTGTGCAAGGTCTCGCTCTGTTCAGGTTTATTTTTAAGACAGACTCCTTGGTCCAGTCCCACTTTCACTCATTTATGTTAGAAAAGGAACCCTACCTACTCACTTCTTTTATTCTCTCTCCAAATGGAACATCTTGGGAGCATATTCTACCACCCAAACACGTCCCTCGGGGCTGCCTTCCAGGCAGCAGGTGCACCGGCCAAGGCAAGGTCCCTGCCCATGCTCTGAGCCAAGAGACATGCTCAGGCACTGCCAGCTCACATCAAGCTCATGCCCGCCTGGCTCACAGCAGCCCTGAGCTGGATGGCAGCCTCCATGGGAATTCTGGAAAAGGTGTGCACTCAGAAACCACGTCCAGCATTTACTACCCAGTTCTCTGGCTAATAGGCAAGAGTAATGTCTCTCCAAATTATGCTTGGATTCATTAATTATGGGACCAAGATTAACTTGTGGTCTCAAAACAGCTACTGCCCAGCAATGCCTTCATGCTCTGCACAAAGGGAAAAATCCTATTAGCATGTTTATCCAAAGGCAGAAATTTCAACTTATTTAAACATGCTTTTAATCCATTCATTAACTCATTTTAATCATAGTGAAACTTTTCACTATTCCTGAAAGTCCTAATTTAAAGAAACAAATGTTGAATATTCTCTTCTTTAAGGAAAGCAAATGGTAAAATAACAGTTTTATGAGAAATTTCACTCATATTTTGATGTGCTTTGGTTCTTTATATGACTTGTGGGAATGAAGATATTACCTTTTGTTATATGTATAATAGCTCATGAAAGAACAGAATTTTTAAACAGTGAGGCTCTTTAAGATACCATAAATTAATTAGGTTAAACATGACCTACCTAGGGTTTCCAACTGAGGAAGGGGATCTACATAGCTACAGAATAACAATGACACTACTCCATGTGATGGCTCTCCTTGGTGCACTCACAAAGCAGTAAGTCACTGTTGGGGCCACATCTGCAAACACTGAGTATGTACTCAGTGCTAGACAGATTAAATTCCAAACCCCTCAGAAATTAAATATCACTGTGTAAATCTCCTACATTGCCATTTATAGAAAGGACCACTCAGAGATTTGTGCAAGCCCAGTTTACCAGCTGCTTATACACCCAGGTGCTGTTACATGATGATAGTGGAGTAAGGAAATGTGATGTGAGCCGGCAGTGAAGATTTTATAGTGATTGATAATTTGTATCAAAACTTCAGCCATTAGAGAAATCTTATTTTAGTGAAGTACTGGTAGAGAAGCCACAAAATCCAAGTGCTCCAGCTGGAATATTTTAAGAGCTCTGTGTTAGGGTAGAGGTATGCTGGTAAGATACATATTAATTGGTTTTCTCATTGATCATGATGCCAGAATAAAAATCTGGTTACTGAGCCACTTGCTTAATACATTCAGAATATTAGTTCCAGGGCCCCAATTATGGGCCAGGTACATTCACTTAAAAACAAACTGAGAAATTAAATGAGCATTGTTAATGCTATTTAGGAAACAAAAAGTGAAACAGAAAAAGAAAGTAAAAAAAAAGCTGAAAAGCCTTAACCTGTAAAAGAAGGCACCTCTGTGCATGCTGCCTGCTTGGAACAGTCCTTGGCCCATCTTTTCACTGAGCCACATAGAAACAGTCCTCAGATGAGCACAGCTGGCCAGTGCCCAATGTGTAACAGGGAGCATTTACCACCTTACCTGCCTGGGCTCATACTGTCGCCTTGCATTGCTTAATTAATTTGTGCAGACATAGCATCTGTTTCTTTCTGAGCAATTTAAAAACAATTATATTGCTTTTCCACTTCTTGTATGTTTTGTTCCTTTGGCTATGTTGGGCCAGATTTCCTGTGAAGCATTTGTGTGTGCATGTGGTTAATCCCTATCACAGGTGGTGTTTTAACAGTCCTAACTGTTAAAAAACACAAGTAGCATTTCTCAGCCTTCAACAAACATTTATTTATTAGAGTTGTAATCTCATTGCACAGTGAATGTCTGTGTCAAGCAAGTGGCAAATCTCCAGAACTTCAGAATTAAGATTTTGTTTGGAAAAGTATCCAAAAATGTGGTTGTTCATCTACAGTGTACACAGATTATTTGAGAATTTAGAAACTCCAAAAGTAGGCTGGCTATTTTATAACCTTTTAACTTCTTATAGCATTTCCAAGCTTAGCAATAAATTCCAGCAAAGGCTGGAAGTAGACTTAAAATTAAAAAAAAAAAAAAAAAAAAAAAGAAAAAAAATAAAAAAAAAAAAAAAAAAAACATAAAATTAATGTCTTCAGAAAAAAACAAAACAAACTAACAGAACAATCTATTTTGATGCTTGTTTTGTTAAAGGTTAGTATTTAAGTGTTCAAAACCAAATAGATGAGAAAAATGTTGACAACAGGTGAGAAATAGACAAAAAGAGTCAATACAAATTTGCCTTTCAAAAGGAAAAAGAAACAGAGAAAGTAGACGTCAGTCTGATAATCATTCAAAATTTCTTATGGATGTTAAAAGAAATCACAGTTCTGAATACCTAATCAAGAAATGATGGACTCAAAATTATTCCAAAAGGCTGTCAACATAAACTGTCAAGGTCTTTAGATTTCTACTGAATACACTGAACCAAAGAGCTAGTCATCATTAAATTGATTTAAATAGAAAACCTGGAAATATTTTGGTTTTAGAGAAGATTTTTGTAAGGTGAATAAGGATTTGTTTTGGAAGACAGGAGGAGACAGACTTAAGATTGCCTTTTTTGATCAATTGTGGATGATTATCATGGCACAGATTTAAAGTTGTGGAGTCTCTACCAGGAATCACTGCTTTTCTCCCTTCAGAACATTCACATGAAAACATGCATGCTTTTTTCCCTTTTACCTGCAAGCCCAAAACTTGTTTCAAAACTAAGGCTTTAATGAGGAGTTAGTGTGGGTGTCTTTTTTTTCAGAAGTACAGACAAACACTTCCAAAAGGATCTGTTTTTATTTCTACATAGAATGAAAATACATTCTGAAACCTTAAAAGTTGCTCTCTAATGAAACATCACTTTTTGGTTAACCCTACTAAAACAACTACCTTCTTCTTTTTGATCAAGCATCACCTGCAAAACAAATTTTACCACTCAAAAGCAACTGGCTCTAAAGGTCTTAATCAATGAACTTCCTTGGCTTTATCAGAATGTTTGATATGATCATCTGAACTAACCCTAGCAAATGCTAAAATTGAAACTTCAGCTAGGCCAATGAATCATCTTTTTCTTCTTTAAAACTTGTTTTTACAGCTTGAAATATTTCTGATTATCACAGCCGTAAGTAGGAATAAAGACACTGGTCACTTCAAAATTTACGACTGCTTTACTGAATAAGATATACCATGAAGATGTAAAACTAAAAGAGCATTTGTCTCTTGCTGATACTAAGTGCATTATTGGCAAATATTTGCCTATTACCAATCAAAGGGAAAAAACTTTTGATTGACGAGAACATGCTGTGTACCTGTTATCAGCAATATTTAAAGTGCCTAAGGTGTCTAATTCCAAATCTACAATTCTACTGTATGCATTAATAAACAAACAGCAAATGAGTACTTCTCCAAATTGAAGCCATTGACTGCAGAAAAATTTGACGTCATCAGTGAGGAAACCTTCAGCAGAGCAATTCTCATCTTAATGAATAAAATTTCTTGCAGAGAACTTTTTCAATGCAATATTAAAAAAAATAAAGAAAAACACTCAAAACTAATTTCCATAAAGCTCTAATGTATAAAATGAACAATACCAAGTGCACAATAATTGTCTCTGTCATTCATGAGTGTAACAAAAGCTTTGGCTCAGGTAGCTTCATTATGTTATCCTTGCTCACCACAGTAAATAGATCCATCACCTAGTACAATGGTTTACTATGAAAGTGCTGAAGAATGAGGATACTGTTTCATCCAGGCAGAAGATGAGACAGAATGTTTCTCTGAAGCAGTCTTGATGCTTCAGAGGTTTGCAGGAGCTAATGGAGAGAGATGATGTAGAAAATTGCCTCCTGCAGGTTGAATTGGTGTGGTGCCTGCAGTTTTCTTTCCCCCACCCCCTACCTCCACTCCCTGCCATTCTCTTTAGGACAGAGGGAAAAGTAAATCTTTATGACCACTGCTATTCTTACATATTATTCGTAGATTTCTTTTAGAAAGATCACTGTGTGGGGAATCACCTTCAGTAAGGAAGGTGCATTGTCCAGCACCATACTACTCTAAAAGTTGAAAGATTTAACTGTGGATATTTTGTTTGGCTGCTTGTCACCAAAATTCTCTAAACAGAGATCAGAAGTAAAAGAGTGGATGATATAGGCAGGAATGGCCTGTGAGGGATCTATGCATATGCATTCTTTTGCTTTTCACTTTTTCTCACTCAACTCACCCTATCACAACCACCCTTGCCACACAATGTGATTGTAGTTAGGAAATACAAGACTTAAATTGATCATCTCAAATGCAAAATACCAAATTGTACTAGGCAGGAAACCTTGCAAAATAACTATTTTAAGAGTTTATCTGAACCTGCCAGTGATATGGTCCTTCTGAACAAGGACCTGGCCATGCAATTTCCTTAATAGTAACTTATTGAAAAATAAGTGAATTTGAGAGTCACAATTTTGATGAAGGCCCAAGATTAATTTATCTTTAGATAGAATATTGTTATATAAATAATAGGATTGACTTCAACCCATTTGCTTTTAAAAAGCTCTTCAAGTCCAGCACTCCTGGTTTTAAATTCAGAGACATTTCAAACACTATTTTAGAGTCTATTATTTTTCATTATGGTCAAGGGAAATTTTGATTTTTCTCACCTTTGCAGTTGCCACGGTAGGCTATTTCCAGCTGAGGGTCTTTGCATTTTGCTCGTTGAAACTCACACCGGGACAGAAAAGTTCTTCCATCAGATGCACAGAGTGATTTCTGAGGGGAACCTGCACAGTCCAGGCTGCATTCTCTGTCTTTGTCTTGGTCCACTCTCAAAAACTAGGAAAAAAAAATTAATGCTGTAGGAATGCTATTCCCATGTGAAAACTGCTCTGAGGTCTCCTTCCCCAGCAAAGACATACAAATATTATCCAAAACTGAAAAGAAAGTTCTGCCTTTTTTTGGTATTGAGATCCAAGCTGATTCATTATATCGGGTTTTTCCACTGCTGCTGTGAAATGGCAGTGATTGCAACATCTCCACAATATACACTAAATCCAGTATCACAATTAGGAACTCTCTGAATCCCTTTCAACCATTATGAGCCTCAAAACAGTAACTTGAGTTTTTGAAGTGAAAATGGTGATTGAAACATTCTTCACAACAAAAATGAGACAGCAATGGATGCTTGTCTATTTTATTAGCTATGTATTATTCTACAAGCCAAAAAGGCTGATCTAAGATCCAAGATTTTTAAAATAAATATTCTCATGGTGGATTTCAATGCGTCTCTTTTTAGTTTTGACACAAAGTTCACTGAACCTGACTGAATTGTTCATCCCTCCAATGTCAAGACAGCAAGGCTGATGAGTTTGACATCATCCTTGGCACTGTGAAAAGAAGTTTCTCACCCTGAAATACACTGCCAAGAAAAACCCCCAATCAGATGCCACTATGTGCCAGCCAAAAACAAAAAAAGATAAAAACAAAGGTAATACTTTATCTTGAGCTCTTGAAAAGCTGAGACTAGGGAGAAGGTAAACTCAGGAAGTACTCAGATGAATTTCTCTCTTTCTGCTTCTGCACAAAACTAAGCAAGGCATACAGCTGCCAGGAGGTAATAATAATCCTAAGCATCATGAGGTGCCCAAGAAAAGACCTGCATCCAGCTAAAGCCCTTTTTTCATTGGTTCTAATTCATCATTACAAACATCAGGCAAAAAAAATTTTGAACTTCAGATGAGAAATTAAATTAGGAGGAGGAAAATTTCAAGGGGAAAAATAAAAGAGCAAAAAGAGGAGGATCTGGGATTAAATTTTTTTTAAAGATTGCTACATATAGTTCCCCTGCATTTTATTACACATAAGAAATATATAATAAGAATTATAAATCTCCATAACCTTCATACTTAAAACTGTGGTCTATTTCCATTTCCTATCATTTAATGTGAGGAAATACAGATGCCTTTCTGGAGAGTCTGCATGAAAATGGAGAGATTATCTCAAAGGTATCACTTTATAATAATAGTCATATGGTTGGACTTTTACCAGAATTTTTATATTTTAGTGGCACACTAAGATGAAAAGGAAAGCTTCCTTTTCCAAATGTTTTTGAGCAACTTTTCACTTTTAGGAATAATTAACTTCAGAAGTAAATTACTCACAAATTACACACAATTTATTTTGCAGCTCCTTCTCACCAACAGAAATTGATAATTAGGTGAGCTGAGTGGGAAGGGAATAAAACTGAAGTCATCTCCCTTTACCTGCACAATTAGTGACAGTGAAGACAGATATCCATGGCTCTGAACACCCTCCAAACCGTATTGGTCTCCAGGGTTTGCCTGGGTGCCCTGATGAGCTGCACTGTGGGAGCCCTGTGAGGTTGTCCTAGCTTCCCTTTCTTGCCTGGCAGGCATCTGCAGGACTCTGAGATTAGGCCTACCTAGCACTACGAAAAGGATTTCTCAATGAAAAATGGACTCCATGGAGCCCCTGACAAACAAAAATGGATCCAGTTCTCTGCTTTACCTCTGACTTCCCCTGAGGATTTGGTGATGGCAAGTCAAGTGATCTCCCTCTTTCTGTTCTGAGAAGTAAGGAATACAGCCCTTCTGTGTGTAGAAGACTACCCCTCTGTAATGGATAGGCACTTTTCCACCCTTAACTTATCCTCAGCAGCATCCCCATTGAGCACAGAATTAGTTTTCAAAAGCACAGGAAGGCTTTGTGACCCACAGAAAATCATGCAGCAGATCAGAGGACTGAACCCAGGCACCAGAAGAAAATCAGACACAGAGCAGCAGTCTAGCCCCTGTACATTATTTTGCCCCAGAGTTTCTTCATTTGTTCTGTTTTGAACTGTTGCAGGAGTTAATGTGGATATGCCTGTGGACAGAAAATCCCCTTAATTGTCTGAGGAACAAAATCCACTCCCTTGAGAGTATGATAGTTCACAGATAAAGCTGTATTTAAAAGGGCATTTATCCAAAGAGTTTTATTTAAGTATTTTATTATTTAAAAGTCGTAGAGAAGATTAGGGCAAATTAAGGGTTCAAGGATATTCAAGCAACCTGGAAAAGCAGAGGATGAAGACAAAACCACTTGAATAGACTATTGGTTAGCCAAACCTCACTGGAGAATTTGGGTTGTACATGTAAACAATTTCCACCAACCTAGGATCCCAACTGAGGGATTTAAGAGCAGGAAGGACAAAAGGGCAAGCAATTATAAGGAAAGACAGCATGAAAGAGAGACTAGAAAATGTATTTGGAAAAAAAAAAACATACAGAAAATATGTGATTGAAATTTGGAAAATACTTCATTGTCATCTTTACTACAGCAGTATAGGATGGCACAAATCAAAATTAGTATTACTTGCTTATATAGCCAAAGGAATTGATGAACATATTGAAAACAAATGCTGAAACAAGAAAGGGCTATGGAATTTTCCATAATATTTGCTACTTGTGGAAACAGGAGCAAGCATAGTCAATGGCAGAAAAGCTGAGATCACAGTAGTGCACATCTTAGAACTCTACTTTCCTATGAAAATAGTCCTTTTGATTAAAATAGGACATAGTTTTTAACCTATAGGACAGGATGGAATTTTGATTAAAACAGTTTAGAGAGAGAGAAATATGGTTCAATACGAACCAGAAAGTGACGCACTCTCAGTACTGGTTCATCTATTTCTGTCTTTGAATTCATTTAACAAACAAATGTGTTATTGTACAAACACATGATTCACTGAAAGACAAGCTTAAAGCAGCATTTCTGTTGAATGCTGGTAATGACTGAAATTAGGCCAACAATAGCTGACCAATCTGAGATGGAATTATTTTGAACAACCAGCAGAAAGTGGACAATTATTGTTAAACCCTATTAAAAAGCAAAACACTTTTAACTGAGAGATGTTCTTGCCCTGATGACACAGAAACCAGCCTAGTCATGTTTCAAAAAATTGGTTTCAACTAAAAATTACTCCATACATTAAGAGGCACGACTCAGCTGGAATCGCTGTAACTTATTTTCTCCTTTACATTTCAGTATCATTCATTTCAGCCTTTCCAAAGCACTAAATCTGACAAGACCCAGCTTCCAAAGGACTTACTATTCTGTACGAGGCACTGCTTTAAATTCTCATGTAGTATTTCTGAGAAGAAAGAATGATAATGGGTCCATAGCAGAAAAATGTTTGATTTTAGGTTTACCTCATTAATAAAAGTTAATCATTAAAGTTACTAGATATGTGTACCCATTTGACAGGTATAAGCATTTCTGAAATATCATTTATTTTCATATATTTCTGGCATTATGGAATTCCAGTGTTTTCCTTCACTCTCACACTTCAAAGAATCTTAATGCTGTATGAAATTTATCACTGATGATCCCAGTGATCTTTCATCTGTTACTGAAGTTCAGAGTATGAAATAGTAGAAAAATGAAACCTTGCTTAAACTGGAAAAAAATATTTCTGCTCTGTTTTTTGCTGTTTTCTACTCTGATTTTTCTGTTTTCTGCTCTGATTTATCTTTCCTCTTTGTTTCTGTCACTGGTGCCACATCTGGGCTATGGACAATCGGGACGCTTATTTCTTCAACCACAAACACTGTTGCAGTCAACGGGAAATTTTTCCCAGTACCTTAAGAATAGGACATTGATGGTTTCCTTACTGTGCTATTAAACTATTTTGATAAATATTATGCATATATAACTTGCTCACTGCTATGGTGTAACATATCTGTACCTCACATACATCTTTACCTTATGCTCACTCTTATACAGGGATTAAGTGCCATTCCCACTGGTCTACATCCTGCAGATACATTCATCACAAGGGCAGAAAAGATCTTCAGATAAAACTGAGCCACATGCACACCTTTGCATTTCTGGTGCACAGATCTGTGACCCCCACCCTTTGTACTTCAGGGAAACTCTCCTTGCTTCTTAGCAGATGACGGAGTATGAGGTGAGAAAAGCGGTGCTTGGCTAGAGAGCCAACAACAGATACACCTGGAAGCACAACTGCCAGCCCAAGAAAGCAGAAGAGTCAAGAGCAGAGTTACAGTCTGACCATGGGGAGCACCAGCATCTCTCTGCATTGGAAGAAAAGCTGACAACAGACACACTTAGGCTGAGGCATTAAGATTAATTATTGACTCTGGCTCAAAACCTCTTAAACAGTAATGGGAAATGCTCTACTCTACATTTCATCATATAGTGCATAGCTGTGGATTTTGTCTTTTGTTTGATGCCACTGTTTGATTAATCTGAGCAAGGCAGGACCATTTTCCCTTTTTTTGTGTGTGTTGTTTTTTTTTTTCTTTTGTTTTTTCCTTAAATTTGGGTCAGCTTGTCTCTAATACTGTCCTGTAGAGACATCCTCAATGCAAACAGGCTGCACATAAAGCATAACTCATAAACATGCTAAACCTATTTTTAACTTGCCCTAATATAAGTTGTCTTAATAAAGCTGAAGACCAGGAAACCACTTTTTCTGTCTATATAGAAACCTTCATTCTTTTCTGTAACACCAGCTTGGAGTCTGTGAACTATGAAAAAGACAGACATTCAGTTCCATGGATTTGGATAGTTCATCAGAGGTTTTTAACTAATCTTTCTGCAATTTACAGATTCCTTCAGTTATGACTGGACCTCCACTGATACTGGATATTTAAGCACATTCACAACAGGGTTTTTTTTT